ATTGTTTGGAAGGACTATTCTAAGAATAAAATTTGGTAATGGTGTTCCTTGTACACTGTGCAATTATATTGTGCAATGTCAAGTCATTGATCCACCAAGTAAAGTATCTGCATATCACCTCCTGTTCACTAAGTCTTACATGAACACCTTAAGTAGACTCAAAAAAGATAATGCTTAAATCATTCTGAAGCTGCCAGGAATTATTTTAATGGTTGAAAAAACCTACTGAAAGTGCTACCATCCTTCCACTGCACAGTTAGCAGCACATCTATATTTAGCTTAATAGAAAATGCATTAATATTTCCTTCCCCCCCCACAGCATCTTATATTTCAAAATCATCTTCTACCCAGAGGGTGTCAGCTTACCAAAGCCTTAAAAGTGGGCAGACATCAGCACTGCAAAAATACAAACACACTTGGTTTACTCACTGGATTTCCAGCAGCAAGACAAAAATAGCAGGCAACTAATGCCATTGTCTATTCTGTACCTATCCAGCCCAAACCTCAAAATGTGTATCCACAAAAAAAAGCTCAAGACTTCATGCAACTATTTTAGCTATGTTTAAATGTGTATGTTCAAGCAGCCACACTGAAATCCAGACCATAGAATTGCAAGTTCTAGATTCAGAATTTTCAGTAAAAGCTTTGCAGTGGTTGAACAGTTTCGGCTATGCTTTCCTGAGAGTATCCATTATTCCCATGTGTAGACAAATGTCACAATCTACAACTGTGACTAACAGAAAAATTTTCTAATAAATTCACAAAAAAGCCATGATTCCTTAATTTCAAACAGCTCTTTGTACTATCGTGTATTAATTTGCATTTCAAATTGGAATATTGCATAGATGATAGAGGCACATGAATTTGCAACAGTTTATAACAAGACATGTAATTACCTGAAAATTTTACATTACTTTTAAAAGTAAAATAAGATACATTTTTCTAGGCTGTGCATTTACACACAAAATTCAGGTTCAGTTGTACTATCCATACACTTACCTGTTTCCTCACATTTCTCTTTCTGCTTCTCTCTCTTTTAAAAATACTACAGAGTTCTAAGAAGGAAAAAAATTATTCTAGAGATAGACACTTTGCAGGAATGCCAACCAGACTTGGGTAAACATAGTCAAAAATGCTATGTATAATTATAAAAAATAATATTTAGAAATGAAAACATAAAAGTGCTGCATAGTATAATAAACGTCTCCTCACTCTAACTTCTTGCAGGATTTCCTGTTTTTCCTAGAAGTTTTCATGCCCAGAATACTACTCGAACTGAGCAGTATCCTCTGCATCAATAGACAATACCATCGTTCAAGCTACTCATAATCTCTGACTTGCAAGTTTACACAGGCCATTTACCCATTTTGTTAACAAAATATTTTGTCAGACAAGACTCAGAACTTGACCATTCATTTTTTTTCCAGATGATACTCATAAGCTTTCAAAGCAAATAACAGCTACTTGATGTCTGCTTCATAATTTGACAGGTAGCTGTACCAAACTAAATACAGGAAATAAACATGATCTCAGATATTACTGAATATGAACTGAGAAATTTTAAGTCAGAGCTGCTCTTTCACAAGAGGATTTGAGGCTTTTCATATAGAGTTCCAGTTCCTTCCCTTGAGGAAATAGCCTCTCCATACTCACCACTACCAAATATTTAATTCAAATTAATTCAGTCATTATTGTCTGTTAGAATTAGTGCTTGCAACTTGGTTTCTTCATTCCTCTATCACTGTCATAAAGAGCAGGTAATTATCCAATAGTAAGTTCCTTCAACAAGAGGGTCCAAACAACAAGCAAGTAATAGGAGATGGCAGCAGGGCATGTGCTACAGAGGTGAACCGCATTTTCAAAAAAATCTGTACTTACTAGGAGGAGAATAATTTTCTCTCTCGAATACCTATCCACATATGTTCATAAGCAGTAAACAAATGAGATGCAGGGCAGAGTGAGAGAGGAAGGCCAGAAAAATACGTAAAGAGGGCTGATACAGCTATGGCAAACCAAACCCTATGCCATGATGTTTTTACAAGGGAGTGGAAGCTGTGGTATGAATTTCTACCTTTGGCAAAACTTCTCCCAGAAGCTCTAGAGGCTGCTTCAGCTCAGAAAGAAGTTGTGCAAAGAGTTTAATATTAGTATCTCTAGCACAATGCAAAGCAGCTCATGACCCAGCTGAAGAGCCCCTGAGTTGAAATGTATTGGCATTTCAATATCAACATTGCATTTCAAAAATTTTAAGCCTTCTTGTCAACACAGAGCTGAAGTAACCTGTGCAAGGGTATAGCATCATTCCCTCCCTTTATCACAAATGCTTCAGGGAAGCAGAAAGATGGAAAAGCAAATTACTTGTGTAAGAGATTTGGTTCTAAGAGTTTCCTGGTGTTTGAGAACATTCTGCGATGCCTGTATGCCACCTGGGCAATTACACTTTCTTCTCTCTGAAAAAAATAAAATTGCTTTCAAAATGCCTGTTCCAGTGGGCAAATGGAAGAGGACCTGATAGCTTTCCATAAACATGTTTTCCTTTCCAGATTTTTTTCCTTTCACCAAAATTGGGTGTTTTTCTAAGAAAATTAAAATACAAACTTCCTAAGAGCCTATTTTGTATATTGTATATTGTCGTATATTCTGTAAAATTCTGTAGAGAAAGAGGTTGCCAGAACTAAGAGAACCATGGACAAATAAGTCTGACTCACATGCTTGGAAAATTGGTAAAAACCAAAACACAGCTGATAATTAGACAGTCAAGTAAGGACTATACATGCAGGAGTGTCCAGGTGGTTACAACAAAAAATGGTAAGGCCTACCAGACCTTGGAAATTTTTATGGAAACCAGAGAAAATATTTTAAAGGATATTTTAGATACTGCAGGAAATTTAGTTTTCAATAAACTTCTGGTGAGTATTTCAGCGGAACAACCTTCTGTCAAAGGCTTTACAGGAAATGTTCTGTCATGGGAATAGAGAAATCATCATCTTGGGATGCATCAGCTTTGGCTGATGGTAACTTTTGATTATTTTTCAGTCCAGTTGCAAGAAATCTGGGGGTACACAAGGAGCTGGAGGAGGGGACAGCCATGATAACTGACTTGAACTGACCAAAGCAGCCATGCACACTGTATGGTGTCATGCTCAACTATAGAGCTGGGCAAAGAGGGATGAAGGGTTTGGAGTTAAAGTGTTTCTGCCCAAGTCACAGTTACATGTGATGGAATCCTCTTGTCCTGAAAGTGACTGAACACCAGAGTGCCCATTTGAATAAATTCCTTGTTTTGCTTTGCTTGTGCACACTGTGTTTGTTTTACTTTGAAACTATCTCAACCCACAAGTTTTCTTACTTTTTCTCTTCTTTTTCCCCCACACCACTGTGGGGAAGTGAGTGTGTGGCTGGGTGGGGCTTAGCTGCCTGCCAGGGTTAAACCATGAGAGTGGTCTATAAATATACATATATACATATATAAATATGTAATCTAGACAACAAGGAATTCAACTGTGCTTACAGATATAGTAGATTTCTTCATGAGAAGTAATCACAGCATTGCTCAATATTTCACTAAAAAAGAGTGAGGCTCAGTGAAACACTGAATTCCTAAGTGACACCACTAGTGATTTCTTTCAAAAGGTATACAAAAGCCATTCACTGGAACATCCTGCAAAGTAGGCAGAAGACAACAATTAGATCTGTATTATCACTATTATATCAATTCCATGTACACATACACAACAGTTCTCCTCACTTAATATTTCTGTGTGTAAAAACATAGCAGTAATATTGTCTGTTGCATTCTAGGTAGATCAGAAAAAGGAATTTTTCAGAAATAATCCACTACTTTCAACTCGAAAATGTTACCTATGAATTTCCTTACAAGGCTACAGGTCAGGACAACAAATGAACCATCATATTTCCATATGAAAGTAAGATATAGTTGTAGTTTTTGAACAATGACTGCAGAGGGAATCAAACAAAATTTTTACCCTACTACTCTGTTTCTCATAATGGAAAAAAGTGGCCAACCTCACAGTAAGCCAAGCCCATGCTTGCAAGCTGACTTTCAGATAAATGTATAGTTGGGCAATGAATGAACAGTGGTGCTCTTCTCTCTTAGGATGGCTGGTACCATGGGCCAGGCATTTGGTGGCAACTGTCCAGACACTTAAAGGATAAAAGATAGAATCCATACCAGGCAATGACACTATGAAATCTTAAGCTTCTTCTGTGAACAAAATGAATGGTTGATACTAAGAAGGAAGGAAAGGGAAGATAAAGAGTTGCACATTAATAGACAAAACAAATAAATTTATTGACTTTTTTAATTATACGGATTTAACAAACCCTAGAATGAAAGGGAGAATGTTTACCTCAAAATCTTCATAATTATTTTTAAGCAGGTAGAAAAAATTCAATTTCTGAGAAAAGTAAAACTTATGAAAAGGAAACTAAAAAGAGTGATATGTCAAAATGGGAAAAAAACAAGCCAGGTGTGGAACTAACTCATAATCCGAAATATCCATCATCCCGCAACCCACTGTGAAAATACTAGAAACTGTGAACATAAAAGGAGCTAAGAACATCTGTATTTACACCTGTACAAACCAAAACTCCATTATCATCAGTAATCAGCAGCAGTGTAAACAATTGTCCTGGGTAAGCATACATGAAGATTAATACTCCATCCAAGTCTCTAATCTTTTTCAGGCTGCTTGAACCAGATCTGTTCAGTAAACATCTCCCCTGTGAACTTCCCTAGTACCGTTCTCAATCATGTGAATTTCAAGCACACAACGAGGTGTGTTTTGCCATGGGTCAATGGCTCACTGTATGAAGAACATCCTTTTGCTTTCCAGTTCTCACAATATGAGAAAAAGAGAAACTGGTCACTATCCATCTTTTCCCCATCACCCATCAATTTGTATCTCTCAATCACAGAGTCTTCCATGTGCATGGAAGTGCACATGTGCACTTCCATGTGCATGTCCATGTGTGATGGGGCTAGAGCCCCATCACACTTAGCTGTTCCTCAGACACTGCGGCATCTACTTTAGTATGGACACACATTTAGAGAGCTAGGGAATTACAGCTTGGAAATTCTTTTCAGGCCTGGATTTCTCCTGACTCTCAGGTCCATTCCCAGACAAGCTGACTACAGCTTCAGTTAGGGAGGAAATCTCCCAGGGTGATAATATGGTGAAAAACAGAGTGGAATTCATAATAAAGATTAACACCTGGTGTCTTTCCCATGGGATACATCCTGAGGTACTGTCCCAAGGATGTTTTTTCCAGTTGTCCAATGAGCTACTGTCCTGTCCTGGCTGCACAAAATACACTTTAAATATGGAATGTCCGTACAATAAATTTGGCCTTTTATCCCCAAAGAGGTCCGTGTGTATTGCTGTCCTTTCTCTCTCTTTTTACTGCAGTAACCACACTTTAGTTATCCCTGTCAACCATCTCTGAACTCTTTTCCAATTCTGCTATAGTGCCTTTGGGATAGGGCACCACAACCACTACAAAACACAGCCACCTTATGGCTTTATACAGCAGTACAAAGACCTATTCATTCTCTATTTTATTCCTTTATGTTCACATCTATTTTCTCAATATCTGCTGAGGCTTTGAAGTAATGTTTCCACAGATCCACATATCACAAGCCCTCGATTGCATTCCTAAGGGCCAATGTCAGCTCAGTGACCAGTGTTTTTTACTTCCTATGATTATTTTTCTTTTAAAATTTACTTTTATATACACTTGTCCCACAAGAATACCAGTGGGGTAAAAGGAAACCAGTGCATTCACTGACTAAAGAGATTTCTTTTTTTTTTTTTTTTCTCAGAGATGCAACTGAATGTATAAAGGTTACCAGATGCATGCCCTTTTAAACATGTGATATTTATCTGGAAATTCAAACTATCTCCAATACAGGAAATATCCTTCAAAATTCTCTTAGCACAACAGATACTTTCAAAGACTGTAAGTTTTATCTGCTTGCTTCTGAATAAATAAATTATCTCAAAACACGATTTATCTATTCTAGTACCTGGAACTTACAGCAAGAACAACTGCCTAATGATGAATCAATTTTGTCACAGATGAACTTACTTAATCCACACATTAAAAACTATCCAAAGGAAAGTACGTGCAGTCTTTTAAGATAAATAGTTGAGTTCTTCTCTACGGCCCTCTGGGATTTTATCAAGGTTTTTTCAAAACAATTACCAAGCATTCACTGCAAGACCTTGGCTAAGTAATGCTTGTGTCCAACAAGATCTTATATGTCTGGCATTTTGTCCACTGGGGTAGACATAAAAGGATCAGTAGTTTCATTCTTTCACGTACAGCAAAAATTATGGGAACCCAGCAGCCAAATGTAGTAAAACTGCTTCAATACTGAAGCTGATTTTGGCATCCATGCTCTGCACACATGTAGCTCAGTTGTTGTCCAAGCAGCAGTTCAGGATCCAAGAGGCCTCTGCAGTGGTATATGAGACATCACTGCAATTCAGCTGGGATTTCTCACACATCTGCCTTTCTGGTACAAGGATTTAGAATCATCCCCTGGACAAAAGGAGGGACAACAACCTCAAACAGCTCTTGCAAGAATCCCTAGGGACTGGAATAGAAGGCTGCATCATTTACACCTCTTCTTGTAGCTGCTTTTTAGAAAGGGTTGCTACTGGAGCACTTTTAAATACTTTTCCCTGTGATAAGAAATCTAGATGTGGAACTAGAAAGTCAACATATAGAGAGTAACAACATGGAAAGAGTATGTAAGATGATTGATTGGAATGTATGTTACTACCATGTTTTACAGAGTATAGTTTTAGCATTCTGCAAAGCAAGGAAGTACAGCAAAATAGCTTGCTGTTTTCATGGTTTTAAAATGGTTTAATGATTTTTAAATGGTCACTGATGTTGCCTTTGCAGACAAAACAACAAAAACAAACAACAAAGAAACAAAGTTCCCAAATGAACAAAGGGATCATTAATAGGCATAAAATGTGGAGACTATGGCAGATGTAAAGGGTGAAGATATTCCTTTTCTCTTTGCAATTTATAAAAGTAGTTTCAGGTCCTTGTCATGGAGTGTGAGCAAAAAGATATCTGTGATCCTGCACTTTGTACCTTTTGTTGAATGTTAAAGGGCACTAGAAATTTCAGTCTTCAAAAGTCCCTTATAGACTGATCTTGGGTCCAATCTGAGTTATATCTAATTCCAAAATGAAAAGCAATCAAATAATTCTTTTTTTATCTGTCATACAGGGAGATTCAAGTGGGGAAAGCAAGAAGAAAATCTTTGTTTGGCTATGTGACCTCTGAATGTCCTCTAAGTCACTGACATCACTGAAGTAGTGGAAAGTCTAATCTGCAATTAGCATAATCTCATTGTCACTACTCTTGTTATGAATAAACTGGAAAGACTCAAGAAAAAAAATGCCTAAAAGTTCTCAATACAAATATATTTAGGATAATGAGAGAATGAGTACGTTTTTAATATGAAAGAAATTGAAGCATGTTCATTCATATAGATTGGTTTTACTTTTGGATAACCTCAAAAATACTGTTATGAAATAAGAAACAAAGCTTGCTTTTGAAATTTTTATGGAGACAAGAATGGACACGCTTCAGTTTAGCAGCATGTATGTATATACAAAATTGTGTACATACAAGAGTAAAATACATATATTGGTCACATAAATACAGGTAGACAACCTTTTCTCAGCCCACAGTACAGTTAATACAGTCTTACTTGTATGCTGAGAGGGAAAACTATACCAAATCCATTTTGTCATCTAGACTTGGACTTATAGGAAAACACTTTTCCTTCCAAAGTTCCAGCATGGCATATTTTGGACACTGGAAAAAGGAAAGATTTGGCTTCATACAGCATTATCTCTATATCACAATCAAAATCAAATGTAAATGTCATTTGGCTGTTTCATATACTTAGCATAAAATGAAAACACTTCAAAATGTAGTCTTGTTTTTAAATATTTTGCTGTTTTCCATTTTCTCATACATAATACTTTGCTGCTGGTATGTAAAACTAAAGTATAACTGTGTTTACAAAGAAATAATTCAGATTCCAACATGATGTGTTCGTGTACAATAAAGTGAGGTGTCAAAAAAAATCATACTTCTGTGAATTTTGTAGGATTATTAGACTTCAAAAAGTGTTAAAATATTAATGAAGGGGGAAATGGGTATTTGATGTTATAATTCAGCATTCTAACTAAAATACTGGCATACAGTGTAAACAAGAAAAACCTAGCCCTACGAAGTTACAGATATATGCTCCTGTAATAAAACACATCTGTATCCAGTACAGTCAGTAGCCTAAGCTATTTTCCAGTCAGACAAATTCAGACCTTTTCTTAATCTACAACATACTAAAAATATTTAATATGAAGTGATGTTCACAAAGCTCACAAAAGTGGAAGACTGATTCTATTTTTGATTGCCAGTGTTAAAAAATTCAGGCTGAAATTCAAGTTGCTAAAGGAACTTTTACAACACTTGGCAAGAAGGATGAAATGCCACTGTACAGCTCAAGAAATCAAAAAATAAAACTATTTAGTTTGAACTTACTATAGCTTAGGTATTTTCTTTTTATTTTTCTTCCACATGGCAAAGTGAAGAATTTCCACATTGGCATATACAAACATTTCCTCAATTAAAAAAGTGTCTGATTTTGTTACAGCACATATTCCTCTGAATTAAAAACTATTCACTAGGAATTTTTCATAGAAAATTACCAAATAGCAGAAAGAGAAAGAATGTTGGGGAAGAACAGCAACAACACACAGCATCAGCATGCACCCTCTGAAGTGCTAGTGACACTTTAAAGCAGAACTAAATTGGCTGATTTCATACCAGCATGGGGTTTGTGTAATAGATGACAGAAAATCCTGCTACAAATGTTTCAGGGCCGTTTGCTGGGGATAACCCCTGGAGTACATTCAGGGCTTTTTGCCACATGTAAGTGATGCAACCTTGCAAACACGTGCTAAAATAACCCTGTTTGTGTTCAAACACCACCACGGCAACATTTGATCTCTCAGTGTAATGGACAGCTCTCTCTGTGTTTATGTCTGATGCATTAGCATCACTTCAGGTGCGTGCTGAACCACACCCAAAACCTGGGGCATTAAAATCTAAACACCACCTCCCTCACCTTTGGCTCCACGGCAGAAACACGGCACCAGGCTTTCCAGCAGTGACACACAACCCCTGCCTGCTGCCCAGCACTGGTGAGGATGGACCAGACCAGCCTGCTCCACCTCGGCATCCCACGAGGGACACGCATGCCCTCCCCTGGAAGCTCGGCTCCGCTCCACTGTCAACATGAGCCGAGTTTCCAGCAGTGTAACAGGGATATTTCACTCCCTGACCCTCCGCTGCCGCCCAACACAAATACTGGGAGTGAGACAGCCTGCCATGACAGTAGTTGAACAGCTCTGTGGGTTTCTGCTCTGCTCAGACACTGGGAGAAGCAGTATTCTCCTTTATTATTATACCACGTTTCCTTGTGTATGTCAACTGTTCCTTAGTTACAGAAAACTGTACTCTTTCCAGACAAGTGTAATGAATCTTCAGAAGAGGAGTAATTTTTTTTTTAAAGCGTTTTACAGTAACTCCCAGAAGGAATGAACATTTTTATTTACAGCCTTGTCTACTCATATGTGAACACATTTCTATGTAGCCACTCCATGGTAGCATATCCTAGCCATCTTGTAATGAAATTATTGTGAACATATCAGCAAGACATGATCCCACATATTTAAGTCATTACAGCAAACTTTGGCTTAGATCAAAGTACATTAGTTATTTTAATTACAGCTGAGTAAATCTCCACTAGGTATGAATAACATTTGGCCAAACTTTTCCCTGTCTTTAAGCTAAAGAAGCCTCTTTTAAATTTTAATCTTGAGCTCATGTTTTTGAGATTTACATAATTATTACAACTCCAGCTTAACTTTCATACTACCATTATCTCTTGCTCAGGAAAAATGAAAATAAATCTAGTACAAAACAGTATCAGTTTGACCAATATTAATTTGATAGACTGATTTAATACCTAATTATAAAACTCAAAGGATAACAGATTGGGTGTCTAAAAATGTCATCCTCAGAATACTGCAAACAGGAACTTTTTACCATGTTCCAAAGATCTCTACAGAGATTTTTCCAGAGAACACTGGCAATAATTGCAGAAGCATTGAAAGATGTTACAGCAGTGATGCACCTCAACCAACAATCCTCTGTGGATTTCTTTAAGAAAGTGCAGGTGTCTGGGACAATTGCACTGACAGTACCACTCTCATTTAGTCACTTCAATCCTCCATAATATTTATTTATAATTGTTTCAGTGATCATATTTACATGAAAGGGTGCTGTCATGCAATTTTTAGTTTTTTTCTCGCTGCTACTGACAGTAAGACAATGCTGCCAAATCATGTGCAAAAAGGGAGGACATCACTGTGGGGACAAATAAGTTCATTGAGGGTGCCCCGTAAGAAGATGACAAACCAAACTGTGCAAGGGCTCTCAGGCAAGGCTTCCACCCACTGCCAGTGCTCAGTAATCTTCTCTGGGACATCAGAGCTTCCAGCTCTTTGTTCATGTTTGATGGCAACTCAGTGTCACCTTTTTCCCTTCCTTAAGGGGATTCAGATCCCATTATTCACTGCACCACCATCAGAGGCTGCTGGCTGAGCCTGCCCAGACCTAGGGGCCCGCTCAGATCCAACAGGCATCCTCCAATGGCCAGATGAACCACAGTCCTGGACCACAGCTGTCCTCACTTTCCCATGCAGTAACCACTAACCCAAGTACTGCACCCTGCCGTCGCCTTTGAGCCTACCGGCTTCTGTCCCTGGGGAGCACAGTCCAAGGGACACGAATGTGACAGCTGTTGTTGTCTTTCAACAGCTGATACCTAACTCAGCCTTGCCAAGCCCAACTGGGAACGTTGCTGGAGATGGCTCACATATTGGGAATTTGAGATTTTGAGGAGCACTGTTTTTATTTAGACATCTAATATGGAGCCTAGGCAGTACGAGGCATCTAATTGCTCTTGGAATTCTACCTTCTCTCCACAAACTTCTTCAGAAAGGTCTTAACACTTCAGATGGTTCCTTTCACAGCCACTCTTATTTATGCTTATAGATCTAATGCATAAACCCTTCTTTGAATCCATAAGCCCTGTAGTAGCTTAGAAATTTCTAGAGCTGACATCTAGACAAAGGGAAGGGAATAAGAAAGAAATTATTCCATATTTTGAAAAATATTCAGCAATCATTATCTGTCATCTGTCTCTCAATTACTCCCAGCCCCCTAAATATTTCCTGAAGTCTTACTAAGGCCAGTCAGGGAACAGAGGCAGCTCCATGTGATCAGCATAATCATTCATCCCAGGGGGTTGGAATAGATGATCTTTAAGGTCTGTTTCAACTCAAGCCATTCTATGATACAAATGACCCTCAAAGTTAATAATTAAATAATAAATAATTTAAAGCCATATTCTGACTTCTGAAAATGATCAACACCTTTCAGAGACAATTACTGATGCATCACTGTTCCTCTTCCTCATAGAAGTATGTTTAAGAAAACACGTCTAGGTCCTCACAAGCACCTAGAATAAATATACGCAATCAGAAAAGGTCCCAGATTACTAATGTCTAAAGCATTTAGATTCTGCATTATTGGAAGCTAAAAAAAAAACCGAACAAACACATAATTCTTCCTTTAATAACCTCAGTACCCTTCAAATGGATCATTACAGATAGCATGAACATCCTTGGTGTATTGTCTGATTACAAACAACATGGTAACTGATGTTTTACCACAACTGTAGGGCTTTATGCATTCAGATGAGATCCCAAGTCTCAAAGTCTATGGAAACACAGAAGAAAATACTTCGGAAAGATTCTGTCTGGTGCAAATGTACAAACAGGCATGTTAAGAGGGTATATTAAGCAACCTGACAGGGTGCTGTTAAAAGCCCATGATGTTCACAGTTTTAAAAGGGTCTGTACAGAAGCAGGTTGTGAGAAGATTCCAGGAATGCAGCAATTCACTGCAGAAATGTATTTCAGGTTCAAGGATTGCAAGACAAGGAGGAAAATCTATGCACAGGTATGTGTGTTTGCCTCCTCCTCCTCCCAAATTCCAGCAGCAGAAGTAATGTAGGACAAAGAAGGAATAACCAACAGTAGCTAATGACTGTAAGTCATTTTAGGAAAGGTAAATTAAGTACTAGATAGAAACAAGTTCTGAATAAAAACACAGTATTTAAATAAATAAAATTTTAAAAGGAAGGTAAAAAACAGATCTGTGTCATGCAGAAGAAATGGCATGGCAAATTAAAAGGACCTTTTTTTACCTGGAAATTACAGGCTACTGAATGCAGAAGGGAAACATTCTGGAATTTGAAATATGCTTAAAGGGCCTAAAAACCAGAACAGGTGTTGTCTGCTGTCCAAAATTACTTTGAAGAGATGACAGACAATTAAGGGAAACTTTGAGTCATCATCCAATGTTGCTTGCTTAATCATACAAAAAGAATGAGACATAACACTACCTTATTTTCTAGAACCTAAAAAAAATGCTCTTTNGTGAAAAACAGAGTGGAATTCATAATAAAGATTAACACCTGGTGTCTTTCCCATGGGATACATCCTGAGGTACTGTCCCAAGGATGTTTTTTCCAGTTGTCCAATGAGCTACTGTCCTGTCCTGGCTGCACAAAATACACTTTAAATATGGAATGTCCGTACAATAAATTTGGCCTTTTATCCCCAAAGAGGTCCGTGTGTATTGCTGTCCTTTCTCTCTCTTTTTACTGCAGTAACCACACTTTAGTTATCCCTGTCAACCATCTCTGAACTCTTTTCCAATTCTGCTATAGTGCCTTTGGGATAGGGCACCACAACCACTACAAAACACAGCCACCTTATGGCTTTATACAGCAGTACAAAGACCTATTCATTCTCTATTTTATTCCTTTATGTTCACATCTATTTTCTCAATATCTGCTGAGGCTTTGAAGTAATGTTTCCACAGATCCACATATCACAAGCCCTCGATTGCATTCCTAAGGGCCAATGTCAGCTCAGTGACCAGTGTTTTTTACTTCCTATGATTATTTTTCTTTTAAAATTTACTTTTATATACACTTGTCCCACAAGAATACCAGTGGGGTAAAAGGAAACCAGTGCATTCACTGACTAAAGAGATTTCTTTTTTTTTTTTTTTTCTCAGAGATGCAACTGAATGTATAAAGGTTACCAGATGCATGCCCTTTTAAACATGTGATATTTATCTGGAAATTCAAACTATCTCCAATACAGGAAATATCCTTCAAAATTCTCTTAGCACAACAGATACTTTCAAAGACTGTAAGTTTTATCTGCTTGCTTCTGAATAAATAAATTATCTCAAAACACGATTTATCTATTCTAGTACCTGGAACTTACAGCAAGAACAACTGCCTAATGATGAATCAATTTTGTCACAGATGAACTTACTTAATCCACACATTAAAAACTATCCAAAGGAAAGTACGTGCAGTCTTTTAAGATAAATAGTTGAGTTCTTCTCTACGGCCCTCTGGGATTTTATCAAGGTTTTTTCAAAACAATTACCAAGCATTCACTGCAAGACCTTGGCTAAGTAATGCTTGTGTCCAACAAGATCTTATATGTCTGGCATTTTGTCCACTGGGGTAGACATAAAAGGATCAGTAGTTTCATTCTTTCACGTACAGCAAAAATTATGGGAACCCAGCAGCCAAATGTAGTAAAACTGCTTCAATACTGAAGCTGATTTTGGCATCCATGCTCTGCACACATGTAGCTCAGTTGTTGTCCAAGCAGCAGTTCAGGATCCAAGAGGCCTCTGCAGTGGTATATGAGACATCACTGCAATTCAGCTGGGATTTCTCACACATCTGCCTTTCTGGTACAAGGATTTAGAATCATCCCCTGGACAAAAGGAGGGACAACAACCTCAAACAGCTCTTGCAAGAATCCCTAGGGACTGGAATAGAAGGCTGCATCATTTACACCTCTTCTTGTAGCTGCTTTTTAGAAAGGGTTGCTACTGGAGCACTTTTAAATACTTTTCCCTGTGATAAGAAATCTAGATGTGGAACTAGAAAGTCAACATATAGAGAGTAACAACATGGAAAGAGTATGTAAGATGATTGATTGGAATGTATGTTACTACCATGTTTTACAGAGTATAGTTTTAGCATTCTGCAAAGCAAGGAAGTACAGCAAAATAGCTTGCTGTTTTCATGGTTTTAAAATGGTTTAATGATTTTTAAATGGTCACTGATGTTGCCTTTGCAGACAAAACAACAAAAACAAACAACAAAGAAACAAAGTTCCCAAATGAACAAAGGGATCATTAATAGGCATAAAATGTGGAGACTATGGCAGATGTAAAGGGTGAAGATATTCCTTTTCTCTTTGCAATTTATAAAAGTAGTTTCAGGTCCTTGTCATGGAGTGTGAGCAAAAACATATCTGTGATCCTGCACTTTGTACCTTTTGTTGAATGTTAAAGGGCACTAGAAATTTCAGTCTTCAAAAGTCCCTTATAGACTGATCTTGGGTCCAATCTGAGTTATATCTAATTCCAAAATGAAAAGCAATCAAATAATTCTTTTTTTTATCTGTCATACAGGGAGATTCAAGTGGGGAAAGCAAGAAGAAAATCTTTGTTTGGCTATGTGACCTCTGAATGTCCTCTAAGTCACTGACATCACTGAAGTAGTGGAAAGTCTAATCTGCAATTAGCATAATCTCATTGTCACTACTCTTGTTATGAATAAACTGGAAAGACTCAAGAAAAAAAATGCCTAAAAGTTCTCAATACAAATATATTTAGGATAATGAGAGAATGAGTACGTTTTTAATATGAAAGAAATGGAAGCATGTTCATTCATATAGATTGGTTTTACTTTTGGATAACCTCAAAAACACTGTTATGAAATAAGAAACAAAGCTTGCTTTTGAAATTTTTATGGAGACAAGAATGGACACGCTTCAGTTTAGCAGCATGTATGTATATACAAAATTGTGTACATACAAGAGTAAAATACGTATATTGGTCACATAAATACAGGTAGACAACCTTTTCTCAGCCCACAGTACAGTTAATACAGTCTTACTTGTATGCTGAGAGGGAAAACTATACCAAATCCATTTTGTCATCTAGACTTGGACTTATAGGAAAACACTTTTCCTTCCAAAGTTCCAGCATGGCATATTTTGGACACTGGAAAAAGGAAAGATTTGGCTTCATACAGCATTATCTCTATATCACAATCAAAATCAAATGTAAATGTCATTTGGCTGTTTCATATACTTAGCATAAAATGAAAACACTTCAAAATGTAGTCTTGTTTTTAAATATTTTGCTGTTTTCCATTTTCTCATACATAATACTTTGCTGCTGGTATGTAAAACTAAAGTATAACTGTGTTTACAAAGAAATAATTCAGATTCCAACATGATGTGTTCGTGTACAATAAAGTGAGGTGTCAAAAAAAATCATACTTCTGTGAATTTTGTAGGATTATTAGACTTCAAAAAGTGTTAAAATATTAATGAAGGGGGAAATGGGTATTTGATGTTATAATTCAGCATTCTAACTAAAATACTGGCATACAGTGTAAACAAGAAAAACCTAGCCCTACAAAGTTACAGATATATGCTCCTGTAATAAAACACATCTGTATCCAGTACAGTCAGTAGCCTAAGCTATTTTCCAGTCAGACAAATTCAGACCTTTTCTTAATCTACAACATACTAAAAATATTTAATATGAAGTGATGTTCACAAAGCTCACAAAAGTGGAAGACTGATTCTATTTTTGATTGCCAGTGTTAAAAAATTCAGGCTGAAATTCAAGTTGCTAAAGGAACTTTTACAACACTTGGCAAGAAGGATGAAATGCCACTGTACAGCTCAAGAAATCAAAAAATAAAACTATTTAGTTTGAACTTACTATAGCTTAGGTATTTTCTTTTTATTTTTCTTCCACATGGCAAAGTGAAGAATTTCCACATTGGCATATACAAACATTTCCTCAATTAAAAAAGTGTCTGATTTTGTTACAGCACATATTCCTCTGAATTAAAAACTATTCACTAGGAATTTTTCATAGAAAATTACCAAATAGCAGAAAGAGAAAGAATGTTGGGGAAGAACAGCAACAACACACAGCATCAGCATGCACCCTCTGAAGTGCTAGTGACACTTTAAAGCAGAACTAAATTGGCTGATTTCATACCAGCATGGGGTTTGTGTAATAGATGACAGAAAATCCTGCTACAAATGTTTCAGGGCCGTTTGCTGGGGATAACCCCTGGAGTACATTCAGGGCTTTTTGCCACATGTAAGTGATGCAACCTTGCAAACACGTGCTAAAATAACCCTGTTTGTGTTCAAACACCACCACGGCAACATTTGATCTCTCAGTGTAATGGACAGCTCTCTCTGTGTTTATGTCTGAGCATGCATTAGCATCACTTCAGGTGCGTGCTGAACCACACCCAAAACCTGGGGCATTAAAATCTAAACACCACCTCCCTCACCTTTGGCTCCACGGCAGAAACACGGCACCAGGCTTTCCAGCAGTGACACACAACCCCTGCCTGCTGCCCAGCACTGGTGAGGATGGACCAGACCAGCCTGCTCCACCTCGGCATCCCACGAGGGACACGCATGCCCTCCCCTGGAAGCTCGGCTCCGCTCCACTGTCAACATGAGCCGAGTTTCCAGCAGTGTAACAGGGATATTTCACTCCCTGACCCTCCGCTGCCGCCCAACACAAATACTGGGAGTGAGACAGCCTGCCATGACAGTAGTTGAACAGCTCTGTGGGTTTCTGCTCTGCTCAGACACTGGGAGAAGCAGTATTCTCCTTTATTATTATACCACGTTTCCTTGTGTATGTCAACTGTTCCTTAGTTACAGAAAACTGTACGCTTTCCAGACAAGTGTAATGAATCTTCAGAAGAGGAGTAATTTTTTTTTTAAAGCGTTTTACAGTAACTCCCAGAAGGAATGAACATTTTTATTTACAGCCTTGTCTACTCATATGTGAACACATTTCTATGTAGCCACTCCATGGTAGCATATCCTAGCCATCTTGTAATGAAATTATTGTGAACATATCAGCAAGACATGATCCCACATATTTAAGTCATTACAGCAAACTTTGGCTTAGATCAAAGTACATTAGTTATTTTAATTACAGCTGAGTAAATCTCCACTAGGTATGAATAACATTTGGCCAAACTTTTCCCTGTCTTTAAGCTAAAGAAGCCTCTTTTAAATTTTAATCTTGAGCTCATGTTTTTGAGATTTACATAATTATTACAACTCCAGCTTAACTTTCATACTACCATTATCTCTTGCTCAGGAAAAATGAAAATAAATCTAGTACAAAACAGTATCAGTTCGACCAATATTAATTTGATAGACTGATTTAATACCTAATTATAAAACTCAAAGGATAACAGATTGGGTGTCTAAAATGTCATCCTCAGAATACTGCAAACAGGAACTTTTTACCATGTTCCAAAGATCTCTACAGAGATTTTTCCAGAGAACACTGGCAATAATTGCAGAAGCATTGAAAGATGTTACAGCAGTGATGCACCTCAACCAACAATCCTCTGTGGATTTCTTTAAGAAAGTGCAGGTGTCTGGGACAATTGCACTGACAGTACCACTCTCATTTAGTCACTTCAATCCTCCATAATATTTATTTATAATTGTTTCAGTGATCATATTTACATGAAAGGGTGCTGTCATGCAATTTTTAGTTTTTTCTCGCTGCTACTGACAGTAAGACAATGCTGCCAAATCATGTGCAAAAAGGGAGGACATCACTGTGGGGACAAATAAGTTCA